AAAAAATAATAAATTTGTGCAGAAACATTGGGAAGGATTTCCCAAAAGGATTTCCCAGTGAGCAAAGACACTGTAAAAATATGGATTAACCCAAAGAAGCATTGATCACATAAAACAATAATAACAATGATTAACTTGGGGTATAAAAACAGTAGTACTGTTCAATAAATGATGCTGGAACTATTTGTTTTCCAAGTGGGAGGAAACATAATTGGATCCCTACTTCACACCACATGTAAACATCAGTAGGGGCCAGGAGCGGTGGCTCCAGTGTTATCTGACATATAAGTTCCTTCTTGAGTGCCACATACATAGGTAATTTGCCATACATCAGAGCTTATAAGCCAGAAGGGATTTCACAGAGCTCCAATTCAGTAGCTTTAAGATGAGAGGTTGAGCAGAGAAGAAAGATGGAGGGAAACACTCTCATTCAGCCTGGTTGAGAAGATATTTAACTCTTAAAAATATAGCCATTGATCTTCTATTAGAAATATAAGTGCATTTTGGCCAGGTGCAGCAGCTCATGCCTGTAATCCCAGCACTTTGGGAGGCCAAGATGTGAGGATCACTTGAGCCCAGGAGTTTGAGACCAGCCTGGGAAATATAACAAGACACTGTTTCTCCAAAAACTAAAAAAAAGTAGCTGGGTATGATGGCACATACCTGTAGTCCCAGCTACTCAGGAGGCTGAGGTGGAGGGATTGCTTGAGCCCAGGAGTTTGAGGCTGCACTGAGCTATGATCATGCCACTGTACTCCAGTCTGTCTCTAAAAATAAAAATGAATAAAGGTCCAGATGTGATAAGCAAATTTTTAATAAAACTTTTAGGATAAAATCCTTACAACCTTGGAGCAAAATATTTCTTAAATAAGACACTAAAAAGCACAAGTTCCAAATTAGATGATTGAAAAATCTGACTGTATTTACATTAATAAAAACTTTCTGCATTAAATACAAGATAAATTTAACAAGCCATAGGCTGCAGGAGAGAAGACAGAATGCAAATGTAACTGACAAGGAGTTAGTTTCCAATATACATAAAGAACTCCTAGAAATAAAATGAAAAAGATACACAGGCCATTAGAAAAATGGGCAAAAGAGAACAAAAGGCAAAACCTACTGGTTAATGAGAATATGAGAAGAAGTTCTTTTACATTGATATTAGGGGACATGAACAACTAAACTACAAGATAGTATTAGATTGTCAAAAATATCAGAGCTTCGCAATCTCAAGCATAAGCAAGGATATGGAGAAAAGAAAACCCATGTCCAATGCTAGTTGTGTGTAAACTGGGACAACCGCTTCACAGAGCAATTTGACTTTTTTTTTTTTTTTTTTTGAGACAGAGTCTCGCTTTGTTGCCCAGGCTAGAGTGAATGCTGTGGTGTCAGCCTAGCTCACAGCAACCTCAATCTCCTGGGCTCAAGCGATCCTGCTGCCTCAGCCTCCTGAGTAGCTGGGACTACAGGCATGCACCACCATGCCCGGCTGATTTTTTTCTATATATATTAGTTGGCCAATTAATTTCTTTCTATTTATAGTAGAGACGGGGTCTCGCTCTTGCTCAGGCTGGTTTCAAACTCCTGACCTCGAGCAATCTGCCCGCCTTCGCTTCCCAGAGTGCTAGGATTACAGGCGTGAGCCACCGCGCCTGGCCCAATTTGACCTTAACTAGTGACATTGAAGATGTACATATGCTATGACCTAGCGGTTTTATTTCTAGGCAAATATGGTAAAGAAACTTACATCTACAAGCACCACAGTGTGAGAATGTATAAGAATGTGCACAGTAGTATTATGTATAATAAAGAAAAGTTGCAAATAAACTAAGTATCCTTCAGTGGCAGAGAAGATAGATTGCATTTTATTCATGTAACAGATTAATGTAGAGCAGTAAAAATAACTTGCAACTGCATGTTTCCACATGAATAAATCTCAACAACATAAACTAAATTACAGAGGAACACTTCAAAATGATAACTTTATTTAAATTTTGAAAAACATAAAACAATACTATGTATTGTTCAGGGACAGAGACACTTTTAATAAACTGTGCATAGGATAAAAAGGATTATTACATATAATAATAAGAACAGCTCATCAAGAAGGTATAACAAATCTGAACTTTTATGCACCCAAAACATGCCAAGAATTGTCAGAATTACAAGGAGAAATGGACAAATCCTCTGTATTAGTTTGGATTCCAAGAAGCAGATGCCAAGATACACAAGAGATAGATACACAAGAGATTTCTTCAAGGAAACATCTGTGAGGGCTGAAGGGCAGCGGCGCAGAAGCAGGAGAGCCAGGAGAGCCAGGGACCAGGAAGGCAGGGCTGAGACGTGTGCAAGGCGAGAGGGAAGGAAGGAGGAAGCTGCGGGCTGCAGCACGGCTCTGAGGAAGCTTTGGCCAGGTGATGGCTAGTCCCCAAGCAAGGACTTCCTAATTAGAGGAGTCTCCCATCGACAGAAGTGGTCCTGCTCTAGTACCCCCTTGGGGATCAGCTGGGAGCAACCGGTGTGGGAGGGCAGGAATGTGGTTTTAGCTTAGATGCCAGGGTGGTCTGAGGGTGCTACAGTTGGAGGCTGCTGTCAGCCGTGCTCCCTGCAGCAGGTTCCTTAGAAGGGTCCACGGTCCACAGCCGCCATAGGCACCATCACAGCAGAAAATAATAACCTACGTAATATACGTCACTCAGGACCCCCAAATGAAGATATTCTCCTAAAGATTGATGGACGATAATAGACTCCTATTTCCAAGAATTAGTAAGCATACATTTTTAAACACACAAGGAACTTTCATAAAATTGCATGTGTAGTAGATCACAATGCCATCCTCAACACATACAATGAATTGGTATTTGGCTATGATGCAATAAGATTAGAAATAAATCATAAAATTATTTTTTAAACCCGTATGTTCTGAAATTGAAATTCATAGATTACCTAACATAAAAGTTAAAGAGGCTATCATAAGGGAAATCAGAAAATATTTAGGACTGAGAGACAGTTAAATCACTGTGTGGTAAACCTAGAAGGATACCACTAAAGGCGTAGGCAGAGGGAAATTTATAGCCTTAACTATGCACATTGGAAAAGAAGATTCAGAATTAATGAGCTTAAGTGTTCAACGCTAGAAGAAAAAAATGAATAAAACAACAAAAACAAAAGTAGAAGGAAGGAAATAAGAAAATCATAAAGATAAGAAGAGAAATTAATCAAAGGAAAAACTAATAGCAGATTAACAAAACCACAGCTGGCTCCTTACCAAGACTAATAAAATCGCCAGATCTCTGGCAAGAGCGGCTAAGGAATAAAGGAGAAAGCACAAGCATGTTAAGAGTGAACAAAAGGAACATAACACAGCTAGAGTAGAGATTCAAAAGCAACGATAGCTCACGTTTACGAGTCAGTTTCATGCCTCATTCTATAATGCAATATTTATTCACAGTTTAAGTTAAATACAAATCCTTTCTACAGAATCCTCTGCTTATATATAGTAATGATGATAGACTAACATTTATCCAGAACTTACTGTGAGCCATGCCCTGCCCCTGGTAGGTAATCTCTCGTCTCCGTACCTTTGGTTATTCTGTTTCCTTCCCCTCCTGTAAGGTTTGGCTAAAACGCAGCCTCCTCTAGCTGCCACTGTCTGCAGCGTACCTGTTATCCATTCTGCCCCCTTATTTACTGACAGAACCACAATTATTTTTTATCTATCCCCTCACCTACTCACCCACCACCCATCTGCCCGCCCAGCCATTCATCCACCCAAGCCTGGGAGAACCTACACGGTTCCAGGCACAGTATTTAGGCACTTGACGTAAAAAATGGGTGAGAGCTGTCCTTTGCCTCTAAGTAACTACACTTTATTTGGGACAACAGGCAAGGAAAAGGGTCAGTGCGTTTGTCATAAGTGCCAGGCTAGAGGGAGAAGAGGGACATAGCCTTAAATGTATTAGTGTGTTTCCTTCTCCTATTTAGCCAGAAGCTTCTGTTTGCTTCGGGGATAGCTGTGCTCTCCATCGTAAGGAGTGTGGGGAGGGAAAAAAGACCCTGTTGCCCCTGAGCGTGAAGACCAAGTCTGCGTGCGGGCGAGGCCACAGCGCGGGGACTGAGCTTTCAGGCGAGAAGGGGGTCTTCCCGATTCCACAGGCAGCGGCCTCCCAGTCCAGAGCACCGTTTCCCGCCAGCGTAACCTGATTCTGAGCTTTTGGCTTTCCTTGACACATCTGAACTGCTGTGTGTAACCAGGAAATCTCACATAAGAGCCACATACTCTCCCACGCAAGGACTTTCCTCGCGCACGGTCCCCTGTAACGCGCGTGCCCTCACGGCCGCGGCGCACGGCCTTCCGGGCCGACCGAGCTGCGCCCGCGCGAGTGGCCGCGCTTTCCTCAGACAGCCCCCGTCTGGTACTTAGGGTGAACTGCAGCACCCCAAAGCCCTCTCTGCCACATACTTCGGGGTTTATCTCAACGTTCTCAGCCACCACGTGACTTTTGCCGCGTCCCTTCCTCTCCCTCACACGGTGACCTTTGGGGATGTCTGCAGCGCTCGAGGTCCGAGCGTGGCGCCCACCGTGCGCACCTCAACCCCCAGCGCCGCCGACAGGCTGGCATTTTACCAGCTAAGATGCGTCCCGCGCCCGCCGGGTGCCGGGTGCCCCTCTGAACGCCTGACTCGTCCAGTCCTCGCATCAGCCCAACGGGGTAGCGCAGTTCGCATTTTTTTTTGTGACAGAGTCTCACTCTGTTGCCCAGGCTAGAGTGAGTGCCGTGGCGTCAGCCTAGCTCACAGCAACCTCAAACTCCTGGGCTCAAGCAATCCTCCTGCCTCAGCCTCCCGAGTAGCTGGGACTACAGACATGCGCCACCATGCCCGGCTAACTTTTTCTATATATATTAGTTGGCCAATTAATTTCTTTCAGACAGGGTCTCACTCTTGCTCAGGCTGGTTTCGAACTCCTGACCTCGATCAATCTGCCCGCCTCAGCCTCCCAGAGTGCTAGGATTACAGGCGTGAGCCACCGCGCCCGGCCTAGATAGAAAGTTTTAATAAAAATGTTATATGCTTGGTCATAGCTGAATTATTTGCAGGCTACCTTAATTTATTTTAGTTCACAGGGACCAATTCGATCTTCGGTTGGTTCATTCCTCCCCACCTCACAGTGACCTCACGAGCCCTCCCCTTCCTACCCTGACCCCAGGGTCCCTCTTGTCCGGCGGTATCCGAAGCCCTCTGTGTCTCTGCCCACATGTGGTTTCAGACTGTGGAAGCCCATGTGAGGAAGAGAGAAAGGTCTCTGCTATGCACGGCCCGCAGCCCCCAGCCCGAAGTGTCTGGCATCTGTCTGGTTTCACCATCCCGAGGCAGCAGTGTGCTGGAGAAGGGGGGTGCTCCCCTCCCGGGGACTAGCCCCCCTCTCTCAATCAAACCAAAGCAGAGGTTACACTTTGAAGATAACTCTCTGCAAATTTAGAGCCAAGACATTTTGGATACAGTAGTGTCTGGAAAAGTGCCCACGCTTGGCTTAGACACACTTTTACTTAGATATTTGCCAAAAAATTCTGCAATTAAAATTTTAGTTATTTGCAGATTAAAACTAGCTTTAAAAATAACAAGTATCTCTGTGCTTTCTGTGGGTGTGTGCATATTTTACGCATACATGGATGTGTATTTAAATCGCCTCAGTCCTGCTAACTGGAAATAAGCGAAGACCAACCAAGTGAGAAAAGCGAAGGCTATTTTTCCTGAACTTGCTATAGCGAGGGAGTTGCCACCACCGCTGCGCTTTGGCGAGATGCGCAGGCGGCAGCGGAGCGGAGCGGGCAAGCTGTGGAGTGGGAACTGGGCAGGCCGCAGGTACGCACATTTTAGACGCTGCTTCCCCTGCTGGCCGCCAACTAGAAGTGGGGCCACTCGTGCGATTGGTTAGGGATACATATCTGGCTTTCTCTGGTCGGCCCTAAGTCAGAAGCAGTGGCAAAAATTAGGAAAGCTCTTGGTTATTAATCAAGTCCTGTGCATTTTGGCTTGTTACTGAGTTACTGTTTAGCTTCCTGGATTGTCGCTTGAGACGGCCATTTGGCTTCCTGCAGGTCTGACTCACGACAGGCTGGCATCCCACGGTGTTGATCGCAGTTAAGGGGGTTGGTTCTTGGGCAGGTCTTGTTGCAGGTCGTGGGTCCAAGTTCTATTTTGATATATGCTCCGGCCATTGTCCCTTTGCATATGCAGTCTGTCATAAGATAAGAATTATATAAGAATTAGTCAAATAAATCCACCCCTTCTCTTTGAAGGGTGAATCAGTTAGTCCACCCAGCAAGTTTAAAAGGTCACCTTATCAATGAGTAGCAACTGTCTGCACCATACAGTCAGATCTCAAATAACTTCATAGAACAAATCCATGAGAATCACACATTATTAAAATGCAGCCACCTCACACACAGAGCCAAACTCGTGTTTGACAGTGGTGTGGCAGTCACACTCGACCTGGGCCGGGAGAGGAAACCAGGCATCTCCTCGGAAGACCACAGGCAGCTCCTCTCGCCTTCCCCGGTGGGATCTGCCCGGCAGCTCCCCAGGCAGCACTGCTAGATGAATTCTCACAGGGAACAGAAGGTGAAGAAAAGGAAAAAATAGCTCATCCATGCAATTCAGAAACATTGCTTCCAGAGACCCATCCTCAGCCTCCCCTCTGCCTCGGCGGCGGGAACAGAGGTGACATTACCGGTTCTTTAGGATCCAGCCCAGAGCAGCAGGACAGTTCAGTGCCCTCTTGCATCAGGACCACCTGATGCTTTTCTCTGTGAAATCAATTTCCAATCAATGGCGCTGTCTAACCGGGGCACTTCTGAGAACAGGGCTTCACTGTGGCACCAAATTTCGAAGGCAAGAAAATGAACCAGGAAGTCGGCACGGGGGCTGCGAGTCCCCAGCCAGGCGCTGCGGCGGCAGAAGTGGGACATCTAGATCCATGTCCATCTGTGACGCGCGGCAACGATGACTTTGGCAAATCGTTTATTTAATCTCTTTTGTTTCAGATTTCTTACTGTCACAATGAAGATTAAAATACTAGTTCCTTTCCATGCACGTTGAATGCCTACTAGTGCTGGGTACGTACGGGCCGGAAGCTGGACAAGACGGGCACGGTCCCTGCCCTGTGCATCTCCCACCTGCAGAGAGGTGGAAATATGCAAATCAATTAGAAACTTCTAGATTTGAAAAGTCTGTGGAGGAAATAAGATGTTACGTACATGTGTAGATACGGAGGAAAAAACCAGTTATTTTTCTTCTGCTCTCAAGCTGCGACAATCACCACAGAAGACCCACTGCTTCTGTCCCCGGCTGTGTGGGGACGTCCCCTCCCCAGCAGGCAGGCAGTTCTGCAGCGGGCACCAGCTGGGTATCCTCTGATCCGACGTGGTTCTGACACTGTCTACCTGGAGGCAGCGTCAGACCCGAGAGACTGAGCCCCTGTGTTCTGCCTGCGCCTCCGACCAGCTGCCTAGGGAAATCAGGGTTTCTACAACACCCTCCCTGGGTTGGACTCACTTGCTAGAGCGGCTCACAGAACTCAAGGAAGCACTTACTCGTGTTTCCTGGGTAACTTTGAAGTTTTGCTGAAAATCAGCTGACAGGAGCCAGATTAACAGGAGATAAGGCATGCAAATTTATGTGATCGTAGTTTTAAGTGACACGGGAGCTTTCGGAATGAAGACCCAAAGATACGCGGGAAACTGCATTTTTATGATCAGGCTCGACAAAGTATGGACAACCCTGTAGAAATGTGGTCGGACAAAAATGGGATCTAATGTGTGAGGGCCATCAAGGTGTCACCTCCCGAGGCGAGGCGGGGGAGGGGCAGGGGCCCCACACTGCACTGTGCTGGTGCCCTGACCCCGGTGGAGGAGGGAAGGAGGCAAGAGGAGGAAATGAGACCCTAGGAGGTAGGGGGAGGCCAAGGATGCAAGAGGCAGATATGGGCTCCCAGCTCACTCTGAAGACTTCTCTCCTGTAGTAGTTTCCTGCTGCAGTCAAAGTAGCAAACAGCTACAAACTGGGTGGCTTAAAACAAGACTGTATTCTCTTACCATTCTGGATGCTGAAATCAAGTCTGAAACCAAGGTGTCAAATCGAGGAAGGAATCCTTCCTTGCCCCCTCTAGCTTCCTGTGGTTTCTGGCCATATGGACTGAGTGTTTGTGTCCTGCCCCAAATTCATATGTTGAAACCCTAGCCCCCAACGCAATGTTACTAGGAGGCGAGATCTTTGGGAGGTAATTAGGTTTAGATGAGGTCCTGAAGGCGGAGCCCTTATAAGAAGAGACAGGGGGCCGGGCGCAGTGGCTCATGCCTGTAATCCTAGCTACTCTGGGAGGCCGAGGCAGGAGGATCGCTCAAGGTCAGGAGTTTGAAACCAGCCTGAGCAAGAGTGAGACCCTGTCTTCTACAAAATAGAAAGAAATTAATTGGCCAACTAAAAATATATAGAAAAACCTTAGCTGGGCATGGTGGCGCATGCTTGTAGTTCCAGCTACTCGGGAGGCTGAGGCAGGAGGATCACTTGAGCCCAGGAGTTTGAGGTTGGTGTGAGCTAGGCTGACGCCAAGGGACTGTAGCCCGGGCAACAGAGCGATACTCTATCTCAAAAAAAAAAATAAAAGAGACAGGGGAGATCTCTCTCTCCCACACCCCTCCCTCTCCCTCCTCCCTTCCGCCTCCCCACCACGGGAGGACACAGTGAGAAGGCAGCCACCCTGAACACCAGGAAGCAGGTCCTCACCTGCTGGAACCAAATCTGCCAGCACCTTGATCTTGAACTTCCCAGCTTTCAGCACTGTGAGAATAAATGTTTGTTATTCGAGCCCCAGTTGATGGCATTTTCCTCTGGCAGCCCCGGCAGACTCGTACACCGTACACCCTAACCCCCGGCATTCTGTGGCCTGTGGCAGCACCACTGCGATCCCTGCGTCCGTCTTCACGTGGCTGCCGTCCCTCTGCAGCAGTGTCTGTGTGCGAATTTTCCTCTTGCAGGGACATTAGTCACTGGCCCATCCTAACCCAGTGTGACCTCCTCTGAACTTGACAACATCTGGAAAGACCCTATTTCTATCTTTTTTTTTTTTTTTTTTGAGACAGAGTCTCCTTTGTTGCCCAGGCTAGAGTGAGCGCATGGGCGTCAGCCTAGCTCACAGCAACCTCAAACTCCTGGCTCGAGCAATCCTCTGCTCAGCCCTCCCGAGTAGCTGGACTACAGGCATGTGCCACCATGCCCGGCTAATTTTTTTTTCTTATATATACTTAGTTGGGCAATTAATTTTCTTCTATTTTTAGTAGAGACAGGGTCTTGCTCTTGCTCAGGCTGGTTTCGAACTCCTGAGCTCAAACGATCCGCCTGCCTTGGCCTCCCAGAGAGCTAGGATTACAGGCGTGAGCCAACTCGCGCCCGGCCCAAAGACCCTATTTCTGAATCGGTCTAGTTCACAGGTGCCAGGTGGATGCAAATTCGGTGGGGTGCTTTGCAACTCGGTGCCCCTTCAGTTCCACACGTCCCCCTGGCTGGGGCTCCCCGAGCATCCTCCCCTACTCTCCCTGAGCTTCCTTAGCTCAGAGCCACCTTCTCAGACCCACTTTTCTTGGTTATGGCTCCACACGAGAGACACTCCACCTCCCCACCGCCTGTCACCCTTCCCCCAGCCTGTGACTGCAGCCAGAACTATTTTTACCGAAAATGCAACGACACATGCAGTTTCAATCCTCCAGATGCCTCCTCCAGGTCCGCGTCTCTCTGTAAAGTGCTTGTCTTAGAAAACCTGGGGAGAACCTGTGTTTGATCTCCATGCCTGCTAATTAGCAAACTGTGAACTAACATGAAATCTTAGGCCCCCGAAACTGACTCAGTGGACCCCCTCTTGGCCAAGAAGACCCCAGAAATACCTAAAGCTCAGGTGCTGGCTGTGACAAGGGCGATGAGACATGCCTTGTCATGCCCCCCTCCCTTCCTGTTCCTTTGTGACTGAGGAACAGGCCTTAGGCTGTGCAAAACAAAGCTTAACCCAGCCCCGCAGGTCCTCAATTCACCCAATGAACCACTTGCGTCTGGGTATATGTCCTGCAGCTTGTCTCTGATTAACAGACTTCCTTAAGTTAACACATTCCAACCCACTAGACAACGCTTCATTTCTTTAACCAATCACAAATCAAAAAATCTTGAAACCCACCTATAATCTGTACTCCCCGCTTCCAGATGTCCTACCCTTTCAGGCCGAACCGATGTACACCTTCCATGTATTGATTTATGACTTTGCCTGTAACTCCTGTCTCCCTGAAATGTATAAAACCAAAGTAATCCAGCCACAGCGAGACTACTCGCTCAAGGCTTCTTGAGCATGGCTCTCTAGGCCATAGTCACACATATCTGGCTCAGAATAAACCTCTTTAAATTATTCTACAGAGTTTGGGTTCTTGTCCGTTGACAATACACACAAGCTCGTGCTATGAAATGGTTCTATCTACCCTGAGCTGTGGGGCTGACTTAAGGCCACAGTGCAAAGGAGTTTTGGGAAGGAGGAAACTGGCATTTCAGGCAGGTGCTGCTCTGTCCCGGGTTCCCTGGAACTCCATCACCTGCCAGTGGGCACTCGCTGCTGTGTCCTGCTACTCAGATGGCCTTAGAGCCCAAGGAGCCCCCCGGCCACCCCCCATTTGGTAAAGGAGGTCACTGGGGCCCTGAAAGTTTATAGAACTTCCTCAAATCCACAGCAGGTATGTGGGAAAAGGAAGACGCTGTGATCCAGCTGCCACTTCTCTTTCCAATCCACCACCCTGCCTCAGCTGGGCCCAAGCTCAGGGGCTGGAAGCCTGGGAGGGGCTTCCTTCCAGCTGGTCTCGTAAGACGACAGCTGCAACACATTGTGCTCATAATAGCCAAGGACCCCAAGCTTTAGTTAGCTCTCGCCCTAGAAAATGTGTCATCTGCATAGTTACCGGCAGGGCCACGGCCAAAGGGACGTGGGATATCACTGTCCCTAGGTGGGGGTGGGGGGCCGAGGAGGAGAATGTACTAGATGTTTTAATTACGCTGTGCCCCTTCAAATGCTCAACCCTCTTTGCCTCTGTAATTCAATATTAGTTGGTTCCCATCTTTTAGGCCTTCTAAACTTGCACATGAACTTGCACAGCAATAAATCCCTGAACGCTCAAAGCCATGATTTCCTCAGCAGGTGGATGCAGAACGCTCAGAGACCCATAATAATCAGCGCTTTGCAACAAGCACTTTTTCTTCCTACTCATTATTGCAGCACTTTAAGAGAAGAAGGGAGCAACTGCTCTCAGACGCTTTGGAAACATGCTGGGGGAGCTGCTCTGTCACCGGGAAGACAATGGAACACATTTACAACGTCTTATTTTCCCTTGCTCTGCCAAGCAAAAGCAGCGAAAGCCTTTGGGGAACGGCTTTACAAGGAAAGGCAATGAGACCCGTGTCTGCAGCGCCCCTTCCCCTGCAGGGGCCGAGCTGGCGGCATTGCTGGGACGCTCAGGGAGCACAGTTGTTCTCTGCAGCGGCTCATTTCCCTTTCTGTCTAGAAGGCGCCTCTGTTTATTCCCACTGAACCCCGGCTCAGCAGAGAAGACTGACGGGATTACAAAGCCCCGTGAGCCCCAGACCTCGCCCTCTCTACCTGTCACTGGGCAGGTCCTTAAGGCTCTGTCGTGTCCTAGGCTGGGGCACAGGCGGCCCTCACTAGTGCTTGAGGGACAGATCCCTACGCTGTCCCCTCCCCGGCATGAAGTTCCCAAGGGAATCCCCATTTCTTATGTTTTAAAAATTCCTCTTATCCCTTTGCCCCTAAAGTCGCCGAGGAGTCCCACTAGCGGGACTTCAGACATGGAGAGCTTGAATTACCTTGAACTTACTGCTAAACCAACAGGATCATCGCTCTGCCAACCAGCCTGGTCGGGAAGCAATGCCCAGCCTAGGCCACTGGGCAGGTGACAACCGTGTAGGGTAATTAGACCAATTTGGCCCATCTGGGGGAAAGGCTCAACTGAACCAGTGAAAAGTCTGAATTAAACAAAGTGTAACAAAATGTAACTACTTAAAATGATCCTTTACCATCTTTTTTTTTTGAGACAGAGTCTTACTTTGTTGCCCAGGCTAGAGTGAGTGCCAT